GAGAGGAACACACACAAAGCAACTCCTTTTCTGAGCCCAGAGCACAGGTATACAATTAACAGATGGCTAGATGAGGAAATAAAAGCAGTGCTTGTTAACAGCTTTCTGGCAGCTAGACTATCATCTCAGGAACTGGCAGAAGTTTATGTTCCATATCAAAGATTTTAAGAGGACTTCAGAAAAGGCTACTGTCATTTTCTTACAGGAGAAAGCACAAAAGTACTCAAGGGCCACTAGACAGCTGGATCCAAGGAGATAAGTAGGGAGGCAACAAGCAATGGGGTGACAGATAGCATGTACCAAAACTAGAGGGAGGCTACAGTGAAACCCACTAGAGTGAAACCCACTAGAGTGCCCATCTCACCCTCAGGAGCAGTCACAAAAACAACATGCTTTTATTTACTCATGAAGCTGCCACGAGTGAAGGAGTTCAGAAAAATACAGCACTTCCTTACCCCTGTCAAGTCAGGTCTTTCTTCCACTGCTTTGACCTTTGTCTCCCCAGGGCTGTGCAAATTACTGCCTTCTCCTTCCTCCTCATTTTTGTGCACTTATCATCTTTACCCCAACAACCATCCCAAACCACCACACGATGCTTCCTGCTGCTCTAGACTCAAGCATTAATCCAACAACTTTTCCCCATGCCTGCACTTAGCTAGTATCCACCAGTATTGGTAGTACAGAACTCTTAGAGAAACTACAAAACCAAGCTCAGCTCTTGTCTTTATAAACTGTCTAATCAATATGCAGATAGTAATTGCAATAAATCTACTTTAGGGCTTCTGCACACAGAAGAAAAAGTCCTCCACTTCTGAGCTCATAGTTTGACCAGCTCCATTCCTTCATAAGCCTTGATTTCTCAGCTGACTCCAGTACCATCAGTTCTTAAGTAGAAAAGTGCTGCTGCAGATAGGAACTTGGTTTGAAAAGAACAATGGACCTCTCCACCCAGGAATCACAGGGGATTGAGCAGGGAGAGCTACAACTCCAGCTTCTTACTCCTGTTCATGCATGATCATTCATTGGTATGTGCTTTCTTTAGCCAAAAGATGAGATAATTACTTGAATCAGGGAAGAATCTTCAAAGAGTACAGATGTCTGAAGCACAACTTGCAGTTCTGCGGAGCAGGACCCTAAACCAGAGCCTCAGATCCTTGAGGGTCTCAGTGAGGAAAGTTTCACCACCTGAAGACATTTTTTAACATCTAATGCCCACCAGGACTGGGTCAACAAGGCTTAAGAGCAAACAAAAGAGGCTGCTGAGCTGAATATGAAGCAGTGGTATTTTAGCACACAGTTAGAAAATGCTCTAAGGATTTATTAAACCAGTCTGACTGCAGCATCCTCTTGGCTGATGCATGCCAAATCAGTATCTGCCACATCCTAGCTCATCTTCCACAAGTGGTTTTAAAATTCCACCACTGTCTGAGAGCTACACTGGAAGTTAGAGCTTTCGTTTCCTTTGTAACTTGGGGCATTTTAGCTCAGTTTGCCGACTCCGTTTCCTCCAGGGAGCAAAAGAGGAAGCTTCTGTCTTGCAGTAAGGAGCAGGACTGTAAAGATCCAAGGGCATTTTTTTTTCCAAATCCCATTACCTCAGTTAAATTGAATTGGATATGGTGAAACCGATATCCCCCCCAGGCAAAACAAAACCAGCGCTGGAGCTCTGCAGAGCTCATCAAGAGCCCGAATCTGACAAAAGGACTCTCAGCAGCAGGTGACCGGGAGGCTGCAACCTCTCCCTCTCCGCCTCAATTCCCAGGAAAGCCGCGGCCCGCAGGGATTCCCGGGCTCCGCTCAGCCCGGCAGCCCCGGGACCGGCGGCATCACCCGCGGAGCTCCCGCCTC